AGGCCGATCAATGCATTAATTGTTTCTGAACTAATGGCCCAAACAGGATCTCCCTGCAAGGTGTGCACGGGTCATTTAAGATTTAAAGTTGGCAGAAAAAATCACTTCAAGCATTGGAATAATACAAAAGTCATCAACATCAGCTTCAAACACTCTTCACTTCATCCATTGACAGTAAAACATTTCAGAATCATAAGAAGCAAAGTTCCACCTTATATAATCATCAAGGAGGTACTTTAGTAACAACATCCTAGAAAAGACGCAGCAAACACTCGATCAAAAGTGGTAATTATCTGATGAATCGCCAATGATAGTTAAAAAACTCTGCATATAACATAATCGCCAATTCAACAAGAAAAATGATACATAGGCAACCTAGTGTACAACTAGGTTGACAACACAAGTGGAAAACATCCACTTGCGTATTTTTATTTTTATTTTTATGGATGTTTTTATTTTTGTTGTCAACCTAGTTGTAAAAATTCGCTATCTAAACCGAAATCTCATTTATAAGGCACTTCAAAAACTGCTTCTAAAATATTTTCGAAGCACGAAGGATACAACTAAACATATACATTAAGGATGAAAGTACTATCTTAAGACCATCATTAAAACACTTATATGACTAATGAAGTGTAAAAGAGCTACTAAAGTTCAAGGATCCACCACAATAAACTCAAATAAATTAGAAAATTTTTCTAGGCACAAAATCTCGTATCATATTCACATAGAAATTTCTAAAAATACTCCACAAACAACTTAACATAGCACTACTTTGCAAACTACATCATGCATTGTCAAAGTGGGTTGATTAACAAATGCTGCTAAGAAATATTACCATGTATGTGTGTATCCTAAAAGAAAAAAAGGGCTTAGTTACTGACAGGAGCATAGGGAAGTAAGAAGAGCCAAACGATGTAGATGCCCTCTGCAGTCCATAGCAAAGCCTGCACTAACTTCCTCACATTATCGTCCAGCTCAGACACGGAGCCTTCGCTGCCACTCGAAGCGGCTGTAATATAAGTAACGGATTTTCGATGGCGTCTCAATCTCCGAGCAGACACAGAAAGAACAGACGGATTGTGTTGTCTCTTACAGCCATGGTCTTGGAAAGCAACACCATTTGCTCTCCCTTCAGAAAGCAAAACCGGGACTCTAGATTTGAAAATTATCGGCAATTTTACCGGCGTGCATTTTAGCACCGGCAGCGAAATTGTTCCAGCGTATTGCATGGCGGGACTTTCTTTTGTTTTTTTTTTGATTTATTTATTTATATATCTATTTACGGTCTGAGATTACCGAGCGTGCGAGAGGCTACTTGGCAGGCTCTCATTCAATGGAGAGCGAAACCCGTCTTTACTTCTCTCCAGTTAGTTTCTCTCCAATTTGAGTACAATTATGCAGTACACCGTCGTTTCTTTCACGTATCGATGGACTCTAGAGCAGGAAACATCTATACATTCTAAATAGAAAGTACAATTCAGATCATCATAACAGGAAATCAGTTCAACCAGTTGAGGACAATGAGAATTACAAACGAATACCAAATCATATTCCCAGCTCAAAAATAAGAAAAAAAAATCAATCCGGACTATTATAAAATGACACAAACGTTACAACAGCAAAATATTATCATCCAATGACACAATAAGAACAAAATAAGGAACAAAATACAGGTTACTTCATATCCAGATGTGTACATGATTTTAGCTTATAGCAGATAGCTGCTAATAAGAATAGTACTCGTCGAGTTTTAAAGCTACATTTAACTTCCCCAAATTTTCCTTTTTTTTTTTTGTTACCTAACAGCACCTAATCAAGAATTCTCGTCTACAACTGTGGAGATTGAAATCGATGCAGTTGACCAAAACCCTAATCTAGAAGTCGAAAAACAGTTCGAATGGGAAAAATGAATATTTATAAATTAATAATAATTGAAAAAAAACAACAACAACAACAAAGAAATCATCATCGAGTAAATACTGAACACCTAAATGTACCTTAAACTTTAAGGTCAATAACTCAACAAATCCGACCACAGCCTTTAATCTGTAAATCCGGATAAACATCATTTACCATACTGTA